GAGGAGAGCTGCATATATATACGCTTGTACTACACATACTGTTTCTCGCGTGTGTGCGAGCGGAGAGAACGAATGAGAGAAACACAGAGGAGATGGAGAGAGAGAGAGACCTTATTAAAGTCTCTTTGCATCTTTTCGTCCTGGACTGTGTATATAAACGCTGGTGCACACGCTGAGATTTCACTTTCTCCGTCTGTCCACGTATATCATTAGCTGGAGCTAAGAATCACGACACACCGCTCGTTATTTATCATAACCAACATTTGAGTTCATTTGGGGTCCGGCTTTTGTTTTTATTATTTCTCTTCTTGTGCCGTATTTTTTTAGAAGATGCGATTTAGATGATTGCGCTGGAATGTCATTATAAAAAATGAATGCTATTTTGGAGGGGGATGGATGACTACTCCGCAGAACTTTATTACTTTATATCGCTCCAAATGAAGATCGCGCGGTTCATGAAAAACGTTAAAGTGAATTTGTCGAATTTGAAGAAAAAAATTAATATCGTTTTCTCGAATCCTCTCCGCGGCACCTGGTGATTTTGCGCCGATAAAAAAGCTGCACGATCTCGTCCGACGATCGAATACACTTCATATTGTTGCACGCCCATGAAATTTTGCACCTTGAAATTATACTCGTACAATTGTACAGCGCTAGAGGCTCGCGCGCGAGAGTACACAATTTCGACTTTACCAGTCGCTCCTTCTTAGAGACCTTCGCGCACAGCACACAACGCGCATTAACGGGCGAGAGTTGCTCTTTTCGGACCTTTTCTCGGATTCTGGAAACGGCTTAAAAATCAACGGGCGTACGCCGCTCGAAGCGCGCCCAAAGAAAAAGCACAACAGGTTCAGGATCTTTGTCGAGCGAAGAAAAATTAAGAGAAATTCTGTCCGGCCCGTCGTGGACGGGATCACCATTCAAATTCTCATTATATTTCGATATTACATTGTGCACTTCTTGGCCCTGGCAGCCATTATACTCGTAATACCGAAAGAAGAAAAAAAAGCCTGCGAAATTGCTTAGAAGAGAGCTAAGAAGGATTTTGTCTTGAAAAACAATAAAAAGGTGTACACACACCTAAGTACCGAACGATCGATGTGTATAGAAAAAAGAGAAAGACGGGTTCGGGCGATCGCAAGAAGTAGAAGAAGAAGGAGAATAAGAAGACGGTGGAAGCGAGAGAGTTGAAAAAAAAGTCAGAGAAAAGAGAGAGAAAGAGTATCATTATTTCTGGCCTCCGGTATAAGGGCTCAACCTGCTATTATTCTTATAACTATCAGTTGGTCCTTTGCCTCTCTTTCTTTCTCTCCTTTTCCTTTCGCTATATATACCTTCGCATCCGCTCCGTGTCTCTCTCTCTCTCTCTCTCTATCTCTTTCTTAGAAAGCTTTTTGGATTTCGCTGGGTCGAACTCGTGAGTCAAGATGGATTGCATAGATGAAGCGCCCTTTGCTGCTGCTACTGCGATCGAAGTTTGCATTTATTTTTTCAACGGGTGGCGCATGCCGTTTTCTCACGTGCATCCGCAAGGTGCAGAAAGAGGGCGGCTCGCGCCCACTGTCCGAACCGTCAAATATAACCGAACGAAACAATGAAGATCTCGCGAGCTCGCTAATAAACGATGCAAACACAATTTCGTAAAACAAACTTCGAGTTGATGGATACGGCAGTATAGTAGCAGCTCAGTAGCATATTGTGGGGGTTGGCGCGCGTGTGGTACCAACGGAACCTTTAAAATTGAAAAACTCGTGTTCTTCCTGGTACGCGATCTTTGCATCGCCTACTTTTCATTCTTCCCCCCTCTAATGGGCGATGATGTACGTACACGCGCATGTATGCGTACTTACCTCCTGCACGCGCGCTCAAACACATCTGCCTTTTCTTACATTTGACCGTAAAATGTCTACACAGAAAGTTGAGCCCTGTGTCGAGGGAGGGGATCAAACAAATATAAATTATCCATCGCTGCACGCTCGAGTATCTATATAACGCAGTACGCACGCGCGTACGTACATGAATATATGTGTGTTACGCTCCGAGTGAGTCTTTACACGAATGTACCCACACACACAAATATAGGTATATATTTCTGTCCATATGCTGGAAAGCGTTCCTCCATAAAGAATTTCTCCGAAACTCATTGTGTTTAGGGCATGTATAAATATAAAATACTGCAGCGCGCGCGTGGTTCGATCGAGCCAAACGCAACGGAGTCTGATACGATCCTATATCAATATGTACTCGTGTAAATTGGATCCTCTCGTAGATTACCGAATTCGTAAAGTTCATCAACACGAAGTTATCGACCCCCGACCATACGAATTTATCGATGATTCTAAACCGTGGATTTATCGATCCGCTCCTGCGGTTTTTTTTTCAATGCCAGCAGCACATCGCACGCACATTAAAATGACCAAAAATATAATTTGAGCCGTACGTTTAATGGATATATGTTTATCTTTTCTACGTAAAGTCTATGGTCCTCGCATCTCGTATTATATATAGGCGCCACACGACTCGTTTCGCCGTTACGTCATTCGCAGGCTCATTGGTACACGTTACGACGCGTTAAACTTGCCTGCCCATTCATGCTCGAGTTTTATTTACGATAATATGAATTTCAGGAAAATTACCGGTAACTATGGCTACGCAGAATCGAAAAAGAAAAAAAATTAATATGACATATTATTAAGTGCAATTTGCATAATACACATCTTTGCCGATTAGTATAGTGACGCAATGATAATAATTGCTTAAAAGTCCGCTTGAAGAGCAATTATGATGTACCGACGACAGTCGCATTAATGTACGCGACTATTCGCGCTACTTTAACCCATTAACTGCTAAATGTCCCGATGTTTTTGCCCATTTTCAACTGGAATGAATAATGGAAAACTCGAAGATGTATAATATTAGCATGCTACAAACATCCCCGTGTATTTTAACTTGCGTCGATGTACTCGATCGATGCCATGTACATGTTTTTCATTAATGCGCGACAAGTTTACGAATCGCAGCCTTAGAAAAAACCATCGTTTCGATTCAAGATTTTCGAATTGCATTCTAAATCGAGCTCGCGCGCCAAATTCGGATTGAATCAATCGTCGAGAAACAATTACAAACATGCGCGAATGTAATTACAGAAGACGCGCTTTATAAATGGAATTAAAATACTCTCGGGAGTTTTTATACAATATAATTAGCTTCCGAGTAATAGCACAATGAGGCAGACAAGTAAGCTCTCGATTCAGAGCTCTCGTATTGTGTTTTACGGGCATAGATTAATTCGTCGAAGTCCGCCAGCGCGTTACATATAAGCCGAGGCGCGCGAAGAAGCGAGCCCATGCGAGACTACTGCTATACCGCCAGGGCGAGCGCAATGCCACGAGAGCGAGATGGGAAAAGAAGACCGCGCGGCAAGCTTTACCGCCCGCTTGCATGCATAGCAGCATTGAACGGGACGTATATATACAGAGCAAATTTATATACATAAGACACACACATCTGCTTGTGTGTATAGACTGCGAGTTATCAAAGATCAAAGGTATCGAATATTTCGTGGGAACACATTAAATTATTATGTACATCGTGTCCTTTTATATATCTTAACTTTATCGATCGCAATTATGGCTCTTGCGTGCGATAAATGAATGGCATGTATGGAAATCGTATAAAGAGGGACGCAGTCGCGCGTAGTCGCCCGCGTATTATCACATGTCTGACGGACGTCCGGCTATAATTGTATATCTGCAAATACGTCGTTTCTATACATACGTTGTATATGATTTTATACTCTGTGCAAGCTCACAGGAACGCGAAGGCCGTAGACGGAGAGGAAACTCGTAAAAATAGGCTATCGCGTGGACAATCTTTGTTTACTTAAAGATATATCATTACGGTTACAGATGAAAACTCGTGTACCTGAAAATTTACCCTAAAACTGCGATTGAAATGAAAAAAATAAATAAAATTCGATCGAACGGATTAACTTGCGAGTATTTCGCCGCCGCGTGACTCGTATGCGTGTAACCGCATATTATAAACGCTCATGAGACAATCCTCGATATGTGAAGGCGGCGGTGCTTGCGCGTGACTTATGCAATGTCGTTAACCACGCACTTACACGTTTGTAACATAATATAATAAAACTGTGCGGATTCTTCGAAAAACGCTATGACGATATTACGTGCGAATATAAGATCGTGTGAGTACACGGATAGGAGGGGGCGTAATTTTCGTCGCCTCATTTTCGTTAAGTAGGCTACAATACAAAGTCGCGCGCAAAGCTCGTAATGTATTCTATGAATCAATTATATATGTTGGGACGTACGTGCGTCAATTTTATTATATCAAGAGTCATTTCAATTTGCATCAATTATCTTCGCTCGGCTCGTATCTCACGCGCCAATTTGAGTTTTAAAGAAATTGAATGAATAAAAAAAAACATCGAGTATATGATCGAGTGCGATCTCGTTTCCTCCTTTCGATCGTTTTGTATTGCGTACCTCGGGTGTGCATCTATATAAACGCGAATCGTACGTATATATAATGCACTTGGGGCTAAACACAGCCCAAGATACACAGATCGAGAGAGGCGATAATGGGCTTGTTGTTATTAGCACGATCGCCGGTGTTGTTGTGGCACTTGTTGTTGTTGTTGTTGCCGAAGCAGTTGAACAAAGCGAGGGCAATAAAAAAATAAACTCGCTTACTCGCGCGAGGCGAGCTGGATAATCTTGCGCGCGCGCGAGTGCAACGATGTACACACCTATACTAACTATACTTACAGCCGCGCGTGTACCAGCGGCGCGTAAAAGTTTTCGATGCGCGGGCCCGATATCGTTTCGCGAAGCGTTAAGAAAAAAAAAGAAACATCGCGCTACCTATCCTCGCCTGCATGATCGAGCGAGCTTTCTGTGCAATGCCTTGTTGTTGTGTATACATCCAAATGAACTTTCTTTGACTAAACGAACTTTTCTCGCTTTGCTTTGCTTCAGGTACAAGGACGGCCGACCGTATCCGTGGCCCGGCAGCGAGAGCAGCTTCATCCTGTATCCCGAGAGTGCCAATCAGACCATTTACACTCAAGAGGCCAGAGCCTCCGATGCGGGAAGATACTCGTGTCGAGCCAGCAACGACACGACTATCGTCAACGGAGATATCACGCTTCAAGTGCTCGGTAAGTTTTTAATCACTTTTTTTTTTGCTCTTCTTCGAATTAAGAAAAAAAAACCAGACTAGCTCTACGCCAATTCTACGCAAGCTTCTTAGCAAGTGTAAAGTTTCATAGCCGAAGATCGTTAAAAACACTTGACACGGTGTTACGGTAAAAATAGTTTTAGCTTATCGGTGCGATAATTCGTCGAGCTTCATCAGCAATGGTGCCGAGATATGCGAGTGTACATCGGAGATGAAAAAAATCATCTGTTACTCGAAATTTCGCTTCATATCCGTCGACGTCTGCAGTTTCTTGGATGCTGCTGCTGCTGCTATTCTTAGATCCGCTAGCTTATACGGCTCAATTTTTCATTTTCATTTTTACTGTTAGATATCTCGATCTCTTTATTGCTTTTTTTTCATTCCCTCTCGCGCGGCGCATCGAAAAATTTATATTCTATGGATTTGAAATAAAATATAAAATCCCATTACGAGAAAGGCAATTTTTTTCTCTCTGCAGGGTGAAGTAATACCATAATAATCTCCCACGAATCCGTAAAATACTTATGTATTTTTATAGAACCGCAATCGGTTGAATTTTTTATAACACGGGTAGCTCGCCTATGATAATTATTTTATCCTTATACAGAAATTTAAAGTACAATTTTAAAAAAAAGCATAACTTCACCAATCATTTATATCGACCACAATACGACGAGTCTTGAAAAGTTTCCCCCCTTTGTAAAAGTGCATTTTTATTGAATTCGTATCTGCATAAAGACGCACTTCAAACGTGTACGAGCAATTGTTTTACTTTATAGTTGCACCGTGTTGCATTGGCACAAAGTAATAATTATATACATCGGTGCGGAAAAAGAAACGCATCAAACTTTTTTCCGAGTTCTCTTTTCAACCCCTCGCGAAGCCATCAAGCTATGTCGTCGTCCTCGTCGATGCAGCAATGGCATAATAGCAGTACAGCTTATCATATTTATTGCAACACTTTGGCGCATACAAAGTCGTCGTACTGCAATTTCCTATTGTTCCGATACTTTCAGTTATACCCATTACATAATAAATGGGCCTTTACTCCCACACACGCAAATATGGCACATCGCTAGCTCTTACGTATCGTGTCATTGCGCCTAGATGATATTGCAATGACCCGTTTTTTATTTCTTTTCTCGGTGCTGCCACCCACTCATCGGGTCATTTTTAAAGAGTCTCCGAGCCATTGTTACGTTTCATACTTCGATGCATCCCTTTTCTAATGAATCACGCACGTTGAACCTTGGGACTAAACCACACCATCGCGAGACAATTAGACCAAAATGTGTGTTTAAACGCAGTCATCTCTCGTTTCCTCACGTTTTGTTGCGGTTTTACTCTTGATATAGACGCAACATAACTCTAGCTGCAGGCAATGGTATCGATTTCAAAAACCAACTTACGCTCTGCGCTCTCTCTTATACGCGATGCGTTCGTTAGCTCAATGAGCCAGAACGTTTACTCGTGGCCAAAGCTGATATTATATATTAACCCATGCATAAAGGTGCACTTTTTAAATGTGGCACATATATCTCGAGCGAGTTGAGCAATAAAATCTATTCATCGCGACGAGCGAGTCTTTTTTCTTTCATTATTATTTTATATACCTGGAACGCGCGCCACGATGCCGCATTGCATTTAAGCGCGTGTGTGTGTGTGTGCTTATATAGCTGCAACGATTGAGTAACTGAAAAAAAATGTTCAACGTCATTTTGCATTAAAGCTCATATCGATGCGCATCGACGAAGCTGAACGAGCTGTGTGCGAGTATTATATTATATGCCGGCCGGGCGCGTGAGATATCCACTGCGAAGCTTGTATTTACGCTCGATACGATCAACCTATTTACATTGTCCGATGTGCGCGCGTATATATACGTACATTTTTTTCTCTCTCTCGTGCACAAACCTCAAAATAAAAATATCATCGCTCCTCGTAAAAATTTACCGTGTCGCATGCACGTATTAATCATTCTCGAAAGTCGAGAGCTCGGTCATATGGGTCGCTAAAAAGTTAAAAATCTCGCCTCTTGTATTCAAGCATCAGAGCTACCTTTCGCACATCCCATCGTTCTTCTCTCTCTTTCCTATCGTGTTCTCTTGAATGCTCATCGTGTACGAAGCGCGTCGCGTAAATACACACATATGCTCGTGATGATGCGCCGGCAGGATAAGAAACCGAGGTTGATACTACGTTTGTACCGTGAAAGCTGGTCATCGCGCGAGTCGTCGCTGCAGCAGCACCGCACGAGCTCTCATTGTTTCTCCACCTTGGTATTTTAATGCGTTTGTTTGGCTTCGTGTAATTCCTGACTCTGTGTCTGCGTGTGCATGTGCAACTCGTGGAAAATGACACAAGTGGAATGTGCACTTTGTTTGCTATACTTTTTTTTCCGTCTTGGCTTCTACGATCGCGCCGACAAGAACTGCTACTACTGCTACAGCGGCGATTCGCGGAGAAGAAAACAGCGGGCTAAAAAAACTCGATAATGTCATCAGCGCGAGCTCGCGGAGAGACGAGACTCTAGCTATTATGAATTTATGAAGAAAATCCTTGCGAGTTTTTCGACGCCGCCGTGCTATATAGCACAGCGGAGTGGTATGATTGCGCAAATGAAATTTCCACGAAGCCTCAAAGGAAAAGTTTTTTTTGCCCGGGAGTGGAAAAAGAGGCTCGCTAAGCTCACAATGCTTGCTGCTGCTGCTGCTGGCCCCTTTAATCCGGAGCAGTGTGGCTGCTAATTAACAAATCGTACTAGCGACTTTAATTAATTCCACCCAAACGATACTCTCTTATACCTTGCTTTTGTTTCCGACTGATCCTGCAGCCGACACTGAGCTGATAAAGAAAAGTTAAGGAGATTCCTTCTTACACCGGGTTTTTTTCGATTTTTTAAAGAAAACCCGAGGCTTCTGAAAAATGTTCTCCCTTCTCAATGGTAAATTGAATAGCGAAGAAAATTTTTTTATCGACTACGCGGCTCGTAAAATGATGGGAAAAAAATCTCTTTCAAGGCAAAATAAATAGCGAGATGTTGCTGGACTCGTAAAACACTTGCTCCTCTCGTGCATAGCCCTCGAGAAAAGTCGTATACCCTATTATATGTGCTACAAAAACAATCAAATGTATATAAAATTTCAAGCTCAGAGATGGATAGATGGATCCGATACCGAGTCAATTCTATGTACATTTTTTCTGCCTCTTCGTATATCTATATATAATATTACAGGTACGCGCTTTATTGCTTTCCGCCGTTGGGCGTTTTTGCACCGATCATTGGTGTTTCCATTTGATCTTCCATGCCTTTTTCATGCTTCTCCTATTCGATCGATCTTTGGTTTTTTTTTCGCCATCGTAAAAAGCCCCCATTGATAATGATTTGTGACAACGCGAGTAAAAAATATTCTCTTAATATCATAGAAAAAATGCACAGATACATTTTATTGAATCGTTTTTACCTACGTTATCAATATTCGATGTTTTTTGCTCGGACTCTGGCAAAATTCAAACTATTTCCAGAACGGAAGGTTTTAACTGAACAATTTCGTTGCATTGTTTCGATGAAATTTGTAAGCTATTACTTTTTCGGGTGCACCGATGGAATGTAGTGAACACAATGAAAAAAAAAGCTAAAAATTTCCTACTCAATCAAGATTTCTTTTCGATGTAACGTCAAATGGAGCGTCGCACTAAAAGCCTATCGGTAGTACATGACGCATTATAAAATATTAATTGGACCGCGTTCTGAGAAATTTCCGGTAATTCAGCAGTGCAAATCACATACATGTTTTAATACATTAGATGATTCATGAAATTGACGTCGCGATTGATCAATCGAACGGGTGTATGGTAACGTTAAACTAACGATCGTGTGTGTGTGCGCACTCGCGTTTATGCACACACAACACGACTAATTGCATCGGCGCGGCTAAGTGCAATATGCAGCAGCTTTCACGCAGGGCCAGATTAACTGAGAGAGCAATATAGAATTACGAAACTATGTATGTGTGTCTAAGCTCGTTTTACAGCTCACGTTGATATGATTACATGCGTATATTGGAAGGTAGTTAATCGTAAATTCGCATAAAATCGGTGGAAAACATTCTCTCTCTCTCTCTCGATCACTCAGTCACCGAAGTAAATTAAAACTAAATTAAACAAAGTATTCGAGTTAGCTCGCGTGCCCGTGCACACACTTGTAAACTTTATTTCTAGACTCCCCCGCAATCTATTTCCCTCCTCTCACTCACTTTTAACTCTTTCTTTCTCTCGTGTAATATAATATTATCCTCGCGCACACTCACGAGTCTCTTTTCAAACAACAACAACAACAACAACAACAACAACAACAATAACAACTACACACGAGGGGGGCAGCAAGCTCGCGCAGGAGCGGTTATCTCGCTTCGCGGGCTCTCAAACTCGCGGCACAGCGTCGAGGTATGCGCGCTCCGCTACATATATAACATATCTGCGAATGATCGTGAGATTGCGACGAGCTCGGGTTCGCGTGCTCAGCGCGGTCGGCTCACTCCCGAGTTCGACTAGTAGACGTAGTTGGCAGCTCATTCGCCTTGTAAAAAAGCGACTCTGTTTACTCGCTGCGACTTTTTGCTTCTTTTCTTGCACTTTTCATGCCACCGCGTGTTACATGATTTCACAATTTCATATATTATACGTGTTAAAGAAAAGAAATTTTCTCCCATTGTTGTTAACGCGTGCACGCAGTATTTACACGCATGCTTGTGTTCGTAGTTTTGCGATTTTAAACGCATCATGAATAGCTCCAAAAATTGAAAGTTTCGCGGTGCATAATATTCGAGTACGAGATTACTCGAGGCTCGACGGAGCGCAGCAAAGCTACTATCATCGTAGTAGCCGTTTCACGCAGCCTAGTAGTAGTCATCTTCGTTGCAGCTCCTCGATCATCGCACACACTCCATGCAGCGGCTCGCACTAAATTATGCCGCAAAGTGCGCGACTCATGCTCGCGATCGTGTGCATCCGCGTATATATAATCTCTCACTTATGTATAGCATATATGCTGCTGCGGCAGCTCGACAACGTATATATCTATCTATCCGCTGCTGCACTCACTCTCTTCTCTCATACCTCCTGCGAGTTCCTGCTGGCCGCACGAGCGCGACATACGTCAAAGACGTCAACGTCCGCGCTTGCTCCGCGTGTAGTGTAGTGCGAGCTATAATAATGTATAGTGTGTACGCCGCGCGCGCGCCAAGACGCGCCGTGAATTCAAAACTGCATTGTCTGCGTGAGCGCGCGAAAACGAGGCGAAGCTTGGCGGCGCGTGCGGCATTTTTAAATCGCAGCCGTGTGCACTTGTACGCAATAAATAAAGTGCGTAATTCATGCAAGGAGACATTCATCCGCTTGATATATCCGTTCGATATTACATAACTAATCGATGATTTATTTTGCTCGTGTTTACAGGCGAAGACTCCAACAATGGCTACAAGGGCCGACCGCTGCCGACCTACAAGCCGGCCTCGCAACTGGTCGCCCTCGGCGACACCGCGAGACTCTTCTGCGAGGCTTACCTCGGTCAGGTTTACGTGCCCGACGCGCACAACTCGGTGACCTGGCGCAAGGTCGGCGAGAACGACACCGTGCCGGAGGTCGGACGAGTCTCCCAGTACAGCGTTTCACGGTAAGATATAAACTTTTGTTTTGGATCGTGCTCTGGCGCTACTGTGAATGCTGAAAAAAATTTTGATTATTTTTTTACTCGTGATTTATCAACGTAACGATAGCGGCTTCATTTTATGATATCTTCAAATGTAGCGACACTTATGGGCTGGTATCCTTGACTGACTTGTCGCTGATTTGACGCACAAGAGGGAGCCGTTTAATTATCAGCTATACCGCCTTTTTTTTTATCATCGAGTCGTTATAAATACTATTACGCTTTTTCTTTCGCTCCGGCGCAGTCTGTATCTTTTTTTTTGCCCTCTCTCTCTCTCTCGCTTTTCGAGCTGTAATGACCAAGAGAGGTAAAGTGCGTAGTTGAACAAGATAAAATAGAATAAAATACTCGTCATTCGTCAAAGTTCACAAAGAGCGATATACGTTCGAGAGATGAATGTTCGAGTTGCGCAATTTTATGCATAGCTCTCTCTTTCTCTGTCTCTCTTGAGAGACGAGTTATTCTGCAGCCAAAGTGACTCATAGTTTTGCCTTGCACTCAGCCGTGTGTGTATATATTATATGATGCCGTATTATTGTGTTACATTATTATACGATCGTGAAAGTATAGAGATTTCAACGCTGAAAGTTCTCCGAACATGATACTTCGAAAATGTACGTTGTCAGAATTCTCAGGCAGCTGCAGCGGCGGCAGCAGCAGCAGCAGCAGCAGGAGCAGCCTCGGCCTGTTTACCTTTTGCTGCGATTTCTCGCAGTGCGATATTATTATTATTCCATCGTGTCGTGCCTTATCCTACATTTAACATTACCCTTGGATATCAATTCAGTTAAAAGAATACAAACTTGAATCGTGGAAAAATTTAGACGTAGAATGGCATTAATCACCGGGAGCAGCAGCAGCAGAAACGGCTCAGTGCGAACAAGAGCGATGAGTGAAAAACAAAAAAAAACGAAGCAATTGTAAAAAACGAACGAGAAGAAGAGCATAATGCGTATAATTCCGGTTTGCACCGCGACTGCAGTGCAGTTCCACTATATATAGCTGCGCATCGCGAAAAAAGGGCATAACACAATAATTGTCATCCAGTCTCGCCGCAGTATTCCGAGAACGTCGAGAGAGAGAGAGAGAGCCACTGCTGCTGACTGCCGCCGCCGTCGTCGTCGTCGTCGTCACCGAGACGAACTGAAAAGCTATAACGTAATGTGCAGTTCATTCGTTCAAATCGCATCGCGCGCGCGGCCAATTGTGCGCTGTAGAGAGAGGCACGAGGCGCAAGGTGCCATTGACGTGTAATCGCGAACCACGACTTTGAATCCTCTGCGCAGCCGACGACAAGTATATAGGTAAAGCGCAGAGAGCTGCAAAGACGCGCCAAATCACATACCTCGATGCGAACCGAACCATACGGAATCGTGGACACAGCTCGGATAAAAAAAATGAAGACTTTCTGCATTTACATAAAGCCGGTACTGCGCATTATGGCTTTTTCGCGAGAGCAAATATTTACTCGGCACAGGGCAGGGTATAGATATTTATCCTGCCTTTTTTTTCCTGATACGTTTCGTTGGAAAATAAAACGCTGCACAAACGAAAGAGCATAAGTAAAAAAGACAAAGGGCAGTGCGCCGAGGTGCATGAGAAAGTGACGAGTGCACATAATAGAACATGAAAAATAAAAGCAAAGAGCCGTGTGTATATGCAAGGAAAAGGTAGAAACGGCGATAAGGTCAGCTCTTCTCTCTCTCTCTGCTGTGCTCCGCTGCAGCACGAGTCTCATCTTACTTGTTTTGCTCTTTTTATCGTGCGCGGCCCAGCACGCGCGCGCGCTCGAGCCTCGGCTGCATTCGAGGCTCCGATTCTCGAATTGCCAGGGCTCTCTCGAGTCCAGTCCGCAGAGAAGAGGGTTTAAAAATATTTATGCACGCGGTAGAGAGGATCCATATAACACAGGCAAGGAGAGAGAGAGAGAGAGAAAGAGAGCCAAGGAAAGACGGAAGTGGAGGGCAACAAAGACAAAAGTTAAGGCTCTCTGCGGCGCGCGAGAGAGTGTGCCTGAGCTGCATAACTTATGCGACTTTGTGTCACCCTTTATGTAACACCAATGTTTTACGTACTTCCTAATACCTTTGCAATCGATCTGTTTACGACATTTTTACATTGTCGTATGTTGAATTTCGGCGTAGATTTTTTTTTGAATTATCTGTCGTATGCGACTTCCGTCTTTCCTTTGGCTCTTTTGATAATTTTAATGACAGGAATCGTATACGTGGAGAATACAATGATATCTTCACGATAATTGGGTGGTCCATTTCTCGGCCTGCTTTGAGAATATTGCATCCGTTGGCGAGTGATTTTTACTCATGTTCCATCATGCATGTAATTTGAAAGACTTACATGTTTGTATTACCACAGACGGTTTTGACCGTACACTTTTTGATGTGAATTTTTCAACAGCACACGCAACAAAGGATATAGTATTTGCGAGTTTGAGAAATAATCCATCAGTCTTGAAAAGTTTCCCCCGCGTATAAAAGTGCATTTTTATTGAATTCGTATCTGTATAAAGAAGCACTTTCGACGAACGAGCAAATGTTTTACTTTGTACTTCCTCTGTGTTGCATTGGCACAAAGTAATAATTACGTCGGGGAAAAGGAAACGCATTGGAGTTTTTCAGAATTCTTTTTTCAACCCCACGTCAAGACCATAATCATATCACTTTCTTGGATTTTTCTCGGGCCGTAGCCGTGTCGCCGATGCAACAACAATAACAGTAGAGTAGAGCAGCTTATCATATTTATTGCAACACTTTGGTACACACACACACAAAGTCGTCGCATTGCAATTTCCTTTTGTACTTACTTTTAGTTATAGCCATTATATAATACAAGCACATGAATGGGTCTCTACTCCCACACAAGCTAATATGGCATCATGGCTCGTGCACGTATCATTGCGCCTGCATAGATGATATTATAATGACACGTTTTTATTTCTTTTTCCTTAGTCGAGAATCATTTCTGAGAATTCTCCGAGTTATTGTTGCGTCTCATCGTTCTGCTGCAACCCTTTCTAATCGAGTAATGCATTTGATTCATGATAAAAAAAGTTTGAATTCGTCTAGTCAAAATAAATTTTTACAATTGCTAACCATTTGTAAGAGAACGCACCTAGATGTTCCCTACATTTGAAGGTTCAAAAAATTCTCTCGAGCTCCTTTCGTTTTTTTTCTCGCTCTCCTTCGCGAAAATGCAATACCTCACGCGCGCGCGCGCATAATATAAAACACTTAACGCGCACACGTACATCGCGATGTTAATGATTGCGCGTTATGCTTTCTTAGAAGCTTTGCGCGAGCATATAATATAATACGCACGCACCAAATGTTACTATCATAGCGAGAAACTCCTTCCCTCCGTTTTTTTTTATTTCATTTTACTTTTTGCCTTCTGCCGCGAACTAGCTAGCCGCGGAGAAAAATTTCACATAAACGCGGAGAGAGAGAGGTATATATCGCGTATACGTATCTGCAATCATGCTATTTAGTATACGACGCGTACGTGCCACGCTTATATGCGTACATACGTGCGTGCGATTTCGATCTTCATCTGTGCCTGCGCTGCAACTCAAAATTACGACAGATTTTTTTAATTTTTACTTTTTATTTATTATCGCTGCCAGTTGCGTTTAAAATTTATCCGCCCAAGACAATGCGCGACGCTTAGGTAATCGTGTTTTGAAATTTGAAAAGAAAAAAAAAACGTCGATCCAAACATTCTATTACCGCGGCGCGTTATGCGCCCGTCACTATAATTTCATTTATTATACTCGACCCGGTGAAACACACTCGCGACTCGTGTTCTTGGAATTAATTTTCTCTACTTCTCTTATGCGCCATATCTCTGTGCGTATGTATGCGACGGAAAGTTCGCGTATGTATGCACGGCGCGCCGCTTCTATTCCACGATGTTTAATAGAAAAAAACCTCTTCTCATTAGCCTTGCTATTTGCTTTCGTGTGTGCGAACAAACAGCTCGAAAATTGGAAAAGCTCACATTGTTGGGGCTTTTCACCGGAACTTCATTCATACAACTTCGTGCAACACTATATATACTTGATTTGCCAATCATCGGGGGTAATTCGCGTATACGCACTCGATGTGAGTAAACATGATTCCGAAATCTTGCAAAATAGTAAAGTGAATCAAAGCCATTGAAATTGTTGTATCGAGCTGCGGCGAACAAAGCGAGAATTTATCTGGTCTCCAATGCATGTAATAATGACTTTTCTCGGTAACGATATTGCGCACAACCGCTATTAGTATACAAGAGCACGTGTGCACTTGTAAGAGTGAAGCCGCCTTCGTCGTTGTGGCCGTCGTCGTAGTAGCTCTCACGCAAAAAAACAATCGGAGCGAGTCATTGAAAAAAAAACTATACAGCTAATAGCCAAAGAATAGCCGAGCTTTCGCCTTGATTTTACAGAATAGACGCGATTCGCGTGAGAAAGCGTCGAAAAAATGTTATAGGGTTTTTAATGAGGCAAGATTCTCGCCTTCGCCGCGCCAATTGCAATATTCATTCGTCTTTTGGAGAAGCTATAGATGTATAGAGCGAACGAGCTGTCGTACGTATCCGATTCGCGTTCGGCGAATCACCTTCATATTTTCCTTGTAAATAGCATTAAAAGTGAATGATTTTGTTTTAAAGCCAAAGCAGAGGCGATCCGCTTAATACTTCGCATTAAAGTTGAATCTATTTGCAATGAAAATAGTTCATGCACGCTCCGATGAGCAAAGCGCGCAAAAGAACGAAGACGCAGCCGCAAGATGAAAAATAAAATAAAATAAAGTAAAGAAAAAATGAATGTTCGTGGGAATGGATTAATTACGAATTCGCTAGGTCGTTGTTCAGGCAGTTGCGCCTACTCACAACTGATTCACACTTTTTTCTCGCGCCGTAATCCGATCTACATATTGCGCGCGTCGTGCCCGGCTCATCAGCGATCGTTATTAATTATGCATTCCTCCAAAGCTGGCGTATAGTTTTTTGAACTGCGAAATATTTCCAAACTCTTTGTCGATCTATGCGAAGATAAGCGCGCGCATAAAGCTGCCTCGTAGCGTGTTGATAAAGAGATCATCGATCCTCTCGCGATATATGGAAAAAATGTATGCGACAACACTTTTACTTTTTTTTCCTACTGTTACTACTTCTGCCGCTGCTGCTGTCGCTGTCGCATTCATTTATGGGTGAGCACAACGGAGCAGCAACGCGACAAGGTCAAATCATGCGTTATTTTTCGCGGCTACTTTGTTGCACTGTTATATTTTATATTATAGCGTTTCAGGAACTTCTTTGTCACGATATAATATACTGCTGCAGCTCTATACACGCTCCTAAGTAACAAGTCGAGCATTGAATCACGTTCCTTGAGAACGAATTTTTATGCATTCGAAGTGCAATCGAGCCGCAGCACCACTGCGGGCCACTAGAAGAGCTCCTTCTTCTTCTTCTTCTCGTTCCGTTATCGGACGAAACATTCTGCTTCCTCCTTTTTTCCATCCGTTAATATGGTTCTCTTGATGAACGGCGGCCGCGAATCGGTATGCTAGTACTACTGCACTTCTCTCTCTCTCTCTCTCTTTCTCTCTGTGGCCGCATCGTGTGCCGTGCCGCGGCGCAGTGTCGCGCGACCAAGTTCGTCGAAATCGAGTACCGCCACGTTCTCGGGACTGGATGCTCTATTATTAAACTCGCCAAGTGCAGCTCGCAGAGAACTTGAAACTCTAGCCTGTGTGAGCGCGCGCGCCCAAGTGCTCTCGATAAAGAGCGAGGCTTGACCCTTTGACTTTTCAATGTATGTGCACCACTCCAGCTCGTACTATATGTGCTTTCAATTATAGAAATTCGCTGAAGCATCGATTGATACGAGGCCCGCGCGGCTGCGGCGTACGCGATGCCGAGCGATCGTGTAATTTTATATCGAGACTCGACTGAAGATTCAAAATCTCATTCATTCGTTCTTTTCGCTGTTTCAGAGATGACAAGCAAGTGGTGGGCTCCTACCTGGTGATCGAGAGCGTATCGGCCATGGATTACGGCGAATACGTATGCGAAATCAGCAACGGCATCGACGAAGAGGTTCTGCTCGTTGCTAACATCTATCGTTCGAGTGAGTTTCAATTTTTTTACATGATTTTACCTTGCGATTAAAAGGAACCATTTATCAAACGCAATTCTCCGTTATCGTTTCAGGACCAGTCGTTTTTGGAGTCAACACACCGGAACTCTTATGGCGCAGGCCTTTGCTCTTCACGATCCTCGTGGTCTTCATTCTGTTCTCTCTGATCGCTCTCTACGTGCGCTGCTGGATGTCGATGGCTCTTTTTTGCCGGGACTTCGTCAGGCGACGCTGCGAAAATGGTAAGAAAAAACTCGATCGATTACACCGAACACAATTTTCGACGTTTTAGCATTAACAAATTTATTTTCAATTTCGCAGATGGAAAGGACTTCGACGCTATAGTTTGCTTCCATGAAAAAGACTCGGATTTGGCCACCAACAACATCATACCCACTCTCGAATTCAAGTACAAGTACAAGTGCATAACTCTGGAGCTCACGCATCTCACCCAGCACTGTAAGTTGTCATTGCGCCTCGTAAAAATTAAAATCTATGCGCGTCAAAAAAAAAAAAAAAAAAATGACGAGGACGAGAAAAGGAACAAGCTCGCCGCGACACACTCGTGATTTCGACGCCGCCGCGCGCGCACAATACAAAATTACTCAACAATGAGCGCACTCGCGCGTGTATACGTATGCACACCTCCTCCGCGCGAGCACGAGCGCGACGTCATTCGTCGGCGCATGGAGGAAAATAAATGTTTTCTCTTTTAACGCCCGACACCTTCGCGTATAGGCCAATGATTGAATGAACGATCGTTTCGCGGAAACGTTTTGCACTCGCGCGCGCGCGCCTATATTTCCGCTCTTCGTTTTGACATGCACGGCTTGAGGCCGCACACTCACAAATACATGCCTGTATATTTTTACGCTCGCATTGAGAACTCGTACACGCGTGGCAGATTTCTCGTAGCGTTAATAACGACGTGAAAATGTAATATTAATGTTTATGTTCGTATGTTTCTTTTGCAGGGAGCTTGGAGATCAATCCACACGCGTCGAACGTCCGTCGCGTCATACTGATCGTCAGCCCAGATTCGATCAACTCAGGATGGACCGAATCGAGCTTCAGCGGTGCGCTGAAACAGTTCTCCAATCTGCCCATACCCACGATCGTGGTCGCTCGCAAAGATCCACCGGCCAACTTGGTCAGCGTGCGCAAGAACAGCACCACCGGCTGCCAGATCACCACCGAGAAGCAGCAAACTGCCCTGCCGGACAACGTCACGGTCGTGCCCTGGTCGAACCAGCGTAAATTCTGGCCGCGAATTCGACTGGCCATGCCGACCATGTGCGCTCCTAGTCACGAGAGCCTGGCCATGCTCAACACCGTGCCCACCGTGGTCGTCCAGGCGTGCAACGCCGAGCCCGCCCGAGTCCACTTGCCGACCAGCCGGTCGAGCGAGAGCCAGCAGATACTCGTCTAGAACGAGCACGCGCCTCCCGACGACAGCGTCGGCGGCGGCGGCAGCTGCTACGAATGGGTATAAGGCTGCTGCTGCCAGGCTTCTTCTTCGAAGCGAGCCTTTCGATGTTTGCGTGTACGTTCGTGCGAGTCGATTTTTAGTTTCTATAGGGACAGTGTGATCGAAAAACATTCAAACAGGCTATGACGATTTAGTTTCATTTTTTATACACTTTTCAACCTATCGTAAGACTGTATACGAACTGCACTTGGCCTAAAACGACAAGGTATCGCACTATAAAAGTGTGTGATATTATATTAGTTAAAATTAAAATCAAGGAATTAAAAAACTATGCGTGAATTTTTTCTTCAAATTCATTCGAATATAATTAAGAATGAAGAAAAAATAATAGCTTGAATGTTTTTTTTTTTGAATTTTGAAAAAAATTACATGCTTAGTCAAGTCAGTTGTAAATATAAAATTAAGTTATTTCTCATACTAAAAACCAGTGAATAGAATATGAATCAGTCGTAAAGTTGAGTGTTGAATGAATATTGCTTTAGTGAATTTTTAATTTAAGTGTATAGTCTGCATAAAGATATACCAAATGTAGAGACGGGGCAACATTTTTCACATTATTCTTTCAATTTTAAATTTCAAAAAAAGTAAGATATTTATTCAGTAGGTTAAAATTTCGTTATAAAAATCGTAAAGTTCCCAAGTCTTTACTATTTTTATTTTGAAAATAATTTTTGTAAATAAAATTATTGCGTCTATATCTTATCTTTGTTTTCGAAAAGTTAAATAGCCAAAAAGTCTTCCTAAAGACATTTGAATGTAATATAAAAATTTGTTTATTTTGTACATAAAACAAACGTTAATTATAGTCTCGAATATATGTTTTGATCCTAAAAATAATGTACTAGTTTTAAATAATATCTTTATTTTAAATAATTGAAGCGTTGTAGATATGCATTTAGTGATTTAGATGAAAACTATTCTCTGAATCTTGTCTCAATGTTCTATATTATTAAAATTAGGTACTCACTTGTCATGTTGAATTGTCAAAACTCTATTATACTATTGTTGTTTCATTTTAAATGATGTTTAATGGAAAAGGTACCATTCTTTACCAGAAATTGAGTAAAATTTTCCGTCTGAAACCAGCGTCAAGCTGCCACATAATGTTATTGGTTGTTAGTAAAATTAAAATGTCTAAGTATAAGGAACTATTCGAGATATCGGAGTAGTGTAAATACACATAGAAAATGTCTGATACATAATTGTCTTATTGTGTAATTGCTCATGTATTTTTTCATTATCTATTAATTTTCACCAACGGGGAAGAGTTTGCAAGAATGTCTTCATGTGTATGTGTTTTTGATTATTTCTGAGATGGGTGTTTTTTTTTATTATTATTAAGTTTTTTTAAGTTTTAAAGATAATAACAATTATCTTTAAATTAAACTATTATGAAAACGTGTCATTAAGGAGCTAAGCTTCTTACTTCGAATCTCGTGGTGGTATCACTTAGTCACGAAGTGCGAGATTTGCATTTTAAGTTGCACTAAGCTTCATTTTTTGATGACGATGCATACACAGAATAATTTCTTTACTCTCAGTATTACAATGACTAGTGTGTGTTTGACTCGTGGTTATATTAATACTCGACTTAAATGGAAGAAATTCATTCTATAAAAATTTCCCTCTGACTCGACTTTGTAATTTTTAAAATAATCCGATCGAATATAATTTAATAGAGAGAATATCGTATGAACTATGCTTCGTGCATTACTGCGAGTCAAATAGTATAGAAGGCATAGTATAATAAAATCATTATTCATCACAGTATAATTTGAGTTCTTTTCTCTGTTCAGTTTAATTATTTTAAATTGTGTATCGATCTTTTAAGTTCTCCGATGTAAAACCAATGTCTTATTTTTAATTGTAAATACTTATGTTAAATTATAATCTAATTACTTTGTTTACTTGAAAATTTCATCAAGTAATTCGTCTGAATACTTGCGTCTTTATAGTGTATTACTACTTAAGAAGCTAAAATGTATATTAATTTTCTATCTTTTATATTATTTTTGATATCACTTGTGTATCAATTCAGTAAAATATTAAATAAAAATAATTAATCGCAGAAAAACTTGTATATTTTTTATTGAAAAAACAACCACTGCCAATATATTAGTAAAGGACTTCCTCCAAAAAATATTACACTGGATATTTTGGCTAAAATATGTATAGTCTTGGGGCAGGGTGCCTTGGTACTTATGATTAAAATTGAGTATTTTCGTGTCCATTAAATATCGGTAAAAGCATTGATGCTTGTTAAATACTATATAAACCGATATTATATTAAGTTCAATCAAATTGCGGTGTAAAGTTGTCAAAATTGGAAAAGCACATCGTAACTGTCATCTGCGCATATATATGTGCGCCTTACGGATTATGTTTCAAACTTCAGATAGCAAACTGAAATTTGAAACTCTAAACCTCCAATGTACCAAAAGAACTTGATTTTACGCGTCGTCTGTTAGTTAGCCGATATGTATTCGACAGCATTGCCAACGGAAGCATCGCAAAAGTACATCGACAAACCACCCATCAAGCTGGTGGCACCAGTTGTTTGCAGTTACGGGTCGCGAATTCGCGATCAAACAAAAGAATCTCATCTGGGAAAACCTGTGAAGTTAAGATTACTGTATAGTAAATCGTAGTAGGTGTTGGACACTCTATTGCTGCACTTAAAAATTATTTTAATTCATTTTCTCCTCAAACACTAGACTTCTTTTCTTCGTTCTATACAAGGTAAAAATGATAGATATTAACTAATCTTTGTTTGTGGATTTCATCGATAATTTATTTAGTTAGTATTATGGACGCCGAACGTACAGCCATAATTGACGCTTTGTCTGAACCTACGATGAAAAATTTTGCGCTTGGCTTAGATATAAAGTATCAAATAAAAAATGCAAAAGAATCTGTTAAAGTTCGAAAGGCAGGCAATGATATATTTATCAAGAAAAAGCACACAGACGAAGATCATCGATTGATTCTGTATTTATATAACAAAAGCATAACTTATGCTCCTAGTGAATCTGAAGAATTGATGTTTGCTTACAGTAATCGAGCATATTTATTGATGCATGTCAATAAATATAATGAGGCTATAGATAGTTTAGATAAAGCTATACAATTAACAGATTCAACCAAGATGAAATTAAAACTATATTGCCAAAAAGCCAAATGTTTTGCTGCCCTTGGTTCTTCAAAGAAAGATGATGTATTAAAAGAGATTGATGAAATTTTCAAGAATTCAAAGTTATCTGTAGAGGATACAAACCAAATATCAAATATTATTGAGAAAACAAAATCTACTGTAGCAACAATGAAGCAATTCAAACCTAACCATAAGTTCTTGCAGGAAAAAGAAGAGTGCGATAAAATTATTATTGACAGAGAAAAAGTTGATCAATTTGATTTTGTTGAAATAAAACAAACTGAAAAAATGGGCAGAGGTCTATATGCTAAAACAGATTTCAAAACGGGTGATTTAGTATTAGTAGAAAAACCTTGTTTAATTGGGCCAAACTTTTCCAATCAATTTGTATTCTGCTCCCAGTGTTTAGCAGTTGCATGGACTGGAATCCCATGCGAAACATGTCATGATTTTATATTTTGTTCTTTGAAATGTAAAAACAAGGCATGGAAAGAGCATCATCACATGGAATGCTCATTAACACCACATCTTCTTTTATGTGACCCAGAAATTCCCGATTACATTTTCATGAGTCTCAAATTTATAATATCGTTAATAAAAGATAACAAGGCAATTGATGAGCTTAAATCCAAACTAAAAATTTCCAAAAACAATCAAGGTAAAAATAAAAAACACTTTTAAAATTATTTAAATTTTCTTAAATAACTCAATTTATTTGGTTTTTATTGTATCTTTAATAGTTAAAATAGTAAATGACAAACCTGAACAAAAAATTGATTTATTCAATAAACTAATGAGTTTATCTCATAAGTTAGCATTGGATTGTAGTATGCGGTTAACTATCCATACTGTTAAAATATTGATTTGTATGGTGAAGTATTCAACTTTTTTTTCTGACAAACTAAAAGATATGCAATACAACGATTTATCAACGAATGAAGATTTTATGTTTATTGGATCTTTGCTTTTAAGATTGGTAAAAATAAATCGTGTAAATAATCATGATGTAAGGATAACCATTTTTCAAGTTTCATTTTTCTCAATCTAATTAATGATTCAATCAAGATCTACTTTTTTTTCATTTTTCTAATCATTAGATATCAGATATAGCTGAATTAAGTATTTCTCAATGTCTTGATATCAAAGCTGGAAGAATCGATAGAAGTAGAGGATGTTGCGTAGGACTTATCAGCAGTATGACCAATCACAGTTGTGTACCAAATATTAGAAGATGTTTTTCAGAAGATATGAAGTATATTTTTTATGCCTTGGAACCAATTGCTAGTGGAACTCAGGTACCCATTGATATTCATTTTTATGAATATTTTTCAAATTTGCTACATATAATATTATTAAATTTTTTTATAGCTTTTAGATGCATACGGGGACTTCTTTTATTTATCTCCATTGATGCATAGAAGAGAAAAACGAAAAAATTTTGTGTGCCAATGCATTGCTTGTGAGGAAGATTGGCCTCCTGTTTTATTATCACCATTGATAGATGAAGCAAAATATTTTACGGAACTAGGTTTTGTGATGAAAATTTCACCATTAATAGATAAAATTTTTTGTAGAAAAGATTTAATTGATAAACAATTATTACAAACTGTGGTCGATCAGATAAATGAAATAGTTGATGTACTACCACAACCTAGTACAACTCGATGTCTTTTACTTCAAGCTCTTGAGGCTATTTATGAGAAGTATTATGGTCTTGCAGTACCCTTTGACAACTTATGCTCATTTTAAAAATCATTTCTCATAGACCAGAAGATCTATTAATTTAAATAAATTTTTATCACCTGTTGCTGGTTAGCTTTACAAAAACTAATACAATAGGGTAATACTTAATTTTTTAATTTATATAAACTTAAGTTTAATTTATAAGTTTAAAAATAAAACATTCTAATTTTTTTCTAATGTCTAGAAACCTTTAAACTCTTAATTTTATTGTTGTAATCAGATCATATTTTGTTAACTTAAAGATTTCAATCGTCAATGATTTTTTAATGAAAATCATACTTATTATTAATAAGTTAAGTTTTTTGTGCAAACTTTTTTTGTGTAATAAAAACATTTTAAAATCTGTAAACTGTGATTTTATATTTAATTGTTTTTAGTTCCATTTTAAATTATGTTCATTCGCTAAAATGGCAAGTTGCATTTAGAGACTTCATACATTTTTTTATCTTAAAAATAGTTTACTAGCTTTAAATAATATCTTTATTTTAAGTAATAGAAGCGGAGTAGATACGCATTTAGTGATTTAGATGGTAACAGTTCTCTGAATCTTTTCTGAAAATTCTATGACATTACGAAAATTAGGCACTCACTTGTCATGCTGAATCATCAAGTATCGTTTTAAATTATGGTTAACGGTACAACTCTGTATCAGAAAACGAGTTGAAAAAAATTTCCATAATGAAAATTTTACGACTGTAACCAGCGTGAAACTGCCACATAATGTTATGATTGTTAACAAAAATTAACATTAAAAATGGTTAATTATAAGGAACTATTTGAGATATCGGAGTTATGTATAAATACATATAAAAAATTTCTGATAGATAAATTTATTATTATGTAATTGTTCATGCATTTTTTCATTATCTATTAATTTTCACAAATAGGGAAGAGTTAGCCAGAATGCCTTCATGTGTATGTTTTCTTGATTATTTCTGAGCCACCGCAAATACATTGGTAAAGAACTACCTCCAAAATATGTTATACTGGATATTTTGGCTCAAACATGTATAGTCTTGGGTTAAGTACCTTGAAGGCACTTATGAAATTAAAATAGAGTATCTTCGTGTTTAGTACGAAAATAGCATAAATATCGATAAAACATTGATACTTGATAAATGCTATAATAAACCGATATTATATTAGATTTCTCTTGGTTAAAACATACACGTATTAAGAAAGGAGTTTAATCAAATTGCGGTGTAATGTTGTCAAGATTGGAGAAACATATCGTGGCTGTCATCTGCGTACATGTGCGCATGACGGCCTCGTTATTCAGATCGTGAGAGCCCGGCGAATCAGATCAAACCAGCGATGCCAAAAACAGCAGAGAAAAAAAATCGGTCGCCGAACCACGAAATTTCAAGATCTCATATTTCAATCTCATTATCTTATTTTCATCTACTGTTAGCCAAGCTTGTGCTTAAGATACTTCAGACGTATTTTGAGGGATCGGCATGTAAAAGATACATTTCAAGTGAGAATTTTATCAATGAATTTGATAAAGAATTTGAAACTCTTTAAAATGGTCGCGAAGATACACGCGTTAATACAAATAATAATGAATGTGTCATGTGTCAGGTTATGTGCGATTAATTAAATACGTGTATAAATATCAAAGCTAATTTCATTATTATAGCTGAAAAGGGATATTAAACTTCATCGATCTAAAACAACTTGACAGAAGTTAGACAACCTGGTCAACTGGACAGTTGGAAGCTGAAAGGATAAATTTCACAACGGGAAAAGATGATTTGTGTAAACTCTCCAAGGTTTGTTTCAAAAATTTCATTATTTATCAAGTGAACTTAATGCTATTGCATGCTGTCGATAAAAAAAATGTATGCAAATTAGTTTGATCCTAATGCAACAGTTTGTATCTAGGCTTTCTAGAAACATGAGTTGAAGGATGCATTTACTGGAGCTGGATTTGGATGTTTGGCAAAGAACCAATGGAGGTAAGTGTGCAATAGGCGTAAAAATAAACAAACTTTAAGAGAATACGTTTTACTATTTACTTATCATAAGAATAATACGTTTTACTGTTGAATTGTATATTTACGATCTAGAGAAAAATAGATCAAGCCTTAATTATGTAGTTTAATCCATAGTTAAAAGTAAAATTTTGTACCAAACTTATCAATGACAAAATGCTGTAATTTGACGACTCATTTATAAATTTAAATAATATGTAACATTGTAATAATACTGAAATTTGACAAGTGACCTTAGTTTATCTCAAGTAATTTCACCACCGTGAAAAATCAAATGAGTCGAAAATTTCAAATGAGTGAAAAAAAAGTTCACATTTCACTACTGATAAATTTGAAAAAAGTATGCAATTCTCATTGCTAACTCTAGTGAACAGAACAGTGACCAGTGACGTTTTGCTAAAAAACCGAATCTGATAATTCCGCAATTAGTTTATCAGGAGTTACGAGTTATTAGCGAGATATAATAATTGAAAATGAATATTATCCATTTTAGCCACTCCAAATAACACACTTTTGAAATAATGGACTATAAAAATAGAAACTTGAGACAGTTTGATGAAAATATAAACGAGCGGGTAAGGGATACGCGTGTATTCAGGATCAAATTCCTGTTTTTTCACCCTCACTTGATTGTTGTATAAATTGAACATTAGATTGTTGCAATATATGCACAAAGAGTTTAAACACTCCAGATAACCGAGAGCTCGCACCATCTTTCGGATTTTTTCATAAGATCGCGGAACCACAGACGTGTCGTAATCGTGCGGATATTTAAGACACTACAAGACGATTTTCTTATAATTTTATATTTTATCTGTAAAAAATTTGTCAATATCGCATAAGGAGATACAAATAATAAAAGTTTCATTTTTAATTATATTAGAAATTTCACGGTGTTTCCCCGTTTTTTGCAGTAAGCTGGATCGTGAAAGAAAACAATATGGCGCTATGCACTGTGTATACCTATAGCTATTGAAGACTGTCCCCTCCACAACGTGCTCAGCATTACGTATATTAGTAAGTGACTGGCTCAGTTAGCCTTAGTACCGTCTCGCCTTTGGATATAGACAGACGTTATTTATCATCGACTGTGCTTCGTTCAGCCATTGTGATTTGTGTTACCACGCGATTTACTGCTGAAAGATAAAATACTATAAACTTAATAACATGTCTTTCATGTTACAACATCTTGAGAATGCTTGGCAAGTAGACCAGGCGATTCTTTCGGAAGAGGATCGTGTGGTTGTTATAAGATTTGGCCGCGATTGGGATCCCGAGTGCATGAAAATGGACGAAGTCCTATTTAATATTGCAGAAAAAGTTCAAAACTTTGCTGTAATTTATCTAGTTGATCTAGATAAAGTGCGTGATTTTAAAGTCATGTACGAGTTATACGACCCATGCACGCTCATGTGCTTCTTCAGGAATCGACACATTATGATAGATCTGGGAACAGGCAACAATAATAAAATTAATTGGGCCCTGGAAGACGAGCAAGAGATGATCGACATTCTGGAAACAGTGTACAAAGGGGCAAGAAAAGGTCGAGGGTTAGTTGTATCGCCCAAAGATTATTCAACCAAGTACAGATACTAATTTATGTTCACCTATACGAAGAAAGCCTGAGAGAGCACGTGCGGGGTAACATAACCTCACTTGATTGGTTCAAGTGAAGACTGAACAAATTCAATAAGAGAAGATCCTTACTGCTGCTGCCGGTGCCGATCTTTCATGATCCAATTGATTAAGGTCAATCAAAGAAAAATAGAAAAACAAAGACTGCCCATGCTATTGAAATACAGCATCTGCAGGCTCTCAGAAAGAGTATTTAATGTTGGGTCAACAAGCTGACACGTAAATTATTTACTAGATAACGAGTCATTGAAGGAAAGAGTCTGCCCAACTATGTTCACTTTAGTTTGTGCGACAAAAAAGACTGTTAAAATGATAAAAATTGTACAAATAAACAGTCTATTACATTTTATTAAAAATAAATGGATTTGTTTTTTTTTTTATCCTTATTCCTTCAACACACAACATGGATCGTTTTTAAATGGGTTTGGTAATGCTTTGAGTATATTTTATCAGTCAAAGTTGTAGTCGTGTGTTTGATTCATTTCTGTCTAAATGCCGATCGTCTATTTTGACAAGAGTGAACTATGCGAGTATTAAATTTTACACAGCCAGAAAGTAAATGCAAATAGCAGCTGGGTTTGACCTGATATCGACAATGATTTTACATTCTAAGATAGTAGTTGACTAATTAAATTACACTTTTATGAAACAATTTAAGTAAATGGTATCCAGCTTTTCATCAGATAAACGCTCTCGTTTACTTTAGCGCATTGCGGAGGATTATTTATCATGAGCTTTACTATTACCCCGACGGAAATTTTTCTCATGAGAAAGTTTTACGAAGTCTAAAAAAGTCTAAAAATGTCTTAAAAAGTCTTACAAATGTTCGGATTTCGCACACCTGATTGATAATTTTAAAGAGTTAATTAGAGTTTTTGAAAATTCATAAAACCTTTTGGAGACTCAAAATTACAATTTTTCTCATTATTTTCTTGATACTATATTATTATTATAAAATTTCAGATGTATTACCCCAATGAAAATATTTTATAAGTTCTTAGGCAAGATTTTAAAAAGATCTTGATAAAATTGTAAGACATCTGGTAGCAAGTTCTTGTATAAGATCTTTATAAAATAGTAAATCCACAACAGAAATAATTTATGATTGAAACTGTTTTGTGAACAAATTAGAAATGATTATATTAATATTTCCAAATTATTTTCAAGTTAAAAAAAAGTACGAGGAAGCTACTTGCCAATACATTGGCATCGGTATTTTTTTGTATATTGTCACACGAGTCAATCTCACTTTAAAATATGATTTCGGTCTCAGTTACATGTATTGTTACTTATTTTTTTCAATTAAACTATCCGATTCTGATTCGAATAATCCATTCAATTATAAAAACACTTCTCGTAAAAAAAATGAGGTGTCGATTAAAATGAAATTTTTGAAAAAAAATTTTTTTGAAACGATGAAAAAATAAAAACTTTTCAATTATTTATAAACAAAAATTTTTTTTTTTTATTTTATTACATTTATTTCATTTTATTTTTTTTTCATTTTTTTTATCATTTGTTCATCTTCTTTCATTGACCTTGATTTTCTTGTGAAGATCCAACTACGTTTCTACGATGATCCAACGTTGAACGCCACCGGGCCCCGTATAAGAATTGAACCTTGAACCTCTAGATGTCTCAGGTCAGAAAATTGTAGAGGCTCGAGCGCCTTAACCACTTACCTACGGGGCCCTCCACTTATATATGTAAAAAACATCTACATATACTTTCACTTATACGTGTAAAAAAACTTCTAAATAAAATAACGTCTCAAGCAGCTACACGACTGAATAGCATTAGAGGCGAAAGGAAGGGGAAAGACGGAGATTTGTCTGAGATTTCTACTTTATCAACAATAAATAATTTGTATTTATTTATTATTTGATAAACTTAATTGGCTTTCTTTTTTTAAAAAAAGCACGAATTTTAAAAGGAATCTTGAAAATTTGTTATTCAAAATAAATACTTTTCCTTATATTCTTGACCTAAAAAAATTCTTTTTACATCTTCATTGATGCTTTCGTCGCGCTTCGACACGAATAAAAAAATAAAAACTTTTTAAGTATATGTATACAATTCTGAAATAACTTTTTGATGTTCCTTTCGATAACGAATGATTCAACCAAACTGATTTCAATTTGATGTTTGGAAATTCCCATCTAGTAAATTTGATTTTACGCTCATATGAGACATAATAGGGGGACTCACAAGATCTTCTCTGAGGCGCCACACGCGGAAAGACACTAGGTATAAAGATTTATAGTTGAGTTCATCATCATCCTTCATCAATAATAAAGTCCAGTTTCTTGTGCTAACAACTAACAAGTAAATCGTGCAGAAAAATTTAGATACATAGACAAATAGAATCAACTTAGGTTCAAACCGCAGTCATAAATTGAATTTCATATTAAACTCATAATAGTTCGGAATTTACAAGATCTTCCTTGTGGCGCCACATACGGAAGTACGTGTAGTTCTAAGCAGACAGCGAGCGGCGGCCGGGAAGGCCTTACTAATTACAATACAACCGTCAATCGCCAGTGCGCTGCATAGCCGCAAAGAAACATAAACAAACGTCGACAAGTCGTGACCAGTGATTCCACAGCAAAGTGAAAATTGCCCATTGTTAAGTGTGAAATCCACATTCTCATCGAATTGAAAAGTGCATCTGCTTGTGTGATAACATACAATAGATACAATGAATGCCCCAAGTGCAACGGAGAGACTCTTCGAAAACATGAAGCGAGAGTGCGACAGCGTGAACAACGTCGACGATCTTTCCGTTTCGCTTTTCGATGAAGATTTGGTGGATATCAGTTCCATGGATCTCAATTGGATACTAATACGCGCTGTCAAAGAGAGATGTTTCAAAATCGTGAGATATTTCGTCCGAGCTGACATAAAAGTCGGCCGTTTCGACGAGTCAACTGGAACGGCAATTCACATTGCGAACAAGGGTTATTATAGGACCGAAGAAGATCGTCCAGAAGTTGTGGGTTTACTTTTCAACATATACGATCATGTGAATTATACCAATAAAAAAGGATTATCACATTTTGATATGGCCTGCCTATGTGGCAATGTTGATATGATGCAATGGTTTATAGATCAAGGCGTTGACGTGAATCACTTGAGCGCTGATGATTCCACACCACTACATTCTGTGACTCACTCGTTTAACATTGATGCAGTTATTATGCTGTTAAGCAATGGTGCAGATCCTAATGGCAAAATATGGCAAGATTTCACACCCTTGAATCTTTTTTGCTTAAAAATGTCGTTGGAATTACCAATTCGTAATCACAGTTATTGGTTGTCGACTATTCAAGTGTTACTTCAGTATAACTCTGATGTCAATACACAAGATGAAGATGGTAACAGTCCTCTACTGAATCTATTTTATGATAAAGCTTGTGGTATGTGTCCAGCACAACAAGAAGCATTAGAAATGCTTTTGAATTATAATGTTGATTTAGCACATGTAAACAAGAAAGGCAAATCAGTATTGCACTTGCTTCCTTGTTGGAAAATTGACGGAGAAGGCATGGTTAATGTAGAAGAGATGTATTTCAGAAAAAGGGATCGTACTGTTATTGAGGTAGTGAAAATGCTATTACAACATGAAGCAGATGTCAACATTCAAGATCACGATGGAAATTCTCCAGTTGATATGGCTATTTCGTACTGCAACTATGATGTAGTTGAGATTCTATTGGAACATNGAAATTTACTAATTTAAATATTTTTTTACTAATATTCATGGTTCTCTTATGCAGAAAAAATTAGAACACACCTTACTGGCACGATAACTTAAAAATCGAAACAATAAAATATAAATGTTCTTGAAGCTAGTATACTGTATCGTCATATAAATGATATAAATGATACATCAAATCAACAACGTTTCATGATTCTAGACATACTAGATTACCTCTGAAGGCAGATCATAAGAATTGATCTTTAATACCTTTAAAAAATAATCTGATGCTAGCTTTAGATATTTATTTTTATATAAATACGTTATAGATATTTTTAAGGTGTTTGATATCTTCATAATCATACTTTGATCTTGAAATCTTTCTAACAAGAGTATCTGAATCATTATGAAAATTACCTGTCGAACCAACAACTTTCAAATAGTTTTCTTTTGCTTTCTAAAAGAAAAACACCATATCAAAAATTTTTATTTTTAAGACAAAAAGCTTCATAATATTTTTCAAGACAGTAAATATAGCTTTGTTCAAAGCCAAGTAGTTCACAAGTTATAAGTGTATTACCAAATACGATGCACAATGCAAGGTACTAACTCTGGAAAAAATGATTTTGATTCCATAAAATGTTAATATGATCGCTCTGTAAGAAATTTAAATAATAAGAAATAAATATTATTCATTTATTCATTTTTTAATAAATAATCTTATTGAAGTCAATTACCAACAACTCAGAATGTAAATTCAACTGCTTCATCTGCTGCAGTTATCCTTAAATATAAACTTTTTTTAAAATGCACACTATTGTAATGCTCAAAAACTTTTTTGACATTTGTTTGACAATGTTTCAGTACAATAAAAGTAAAATATTTATTTCACACTCACAACAGTCATACAATTAAAAATTGTAAATGGTACATACACTTTAAATAAGTTTTCATAATATGATTCATAAATCAATAGGCCTTTATAAAACTACACTCAATTACAAGGAACATATTTAAAAAACAACAAAAAAATTTAATTTAAGGATAGAGTCATAGGAAAATGTAAAATTTACATTTGTGTGTATCTTAATTATTTCAGCAAAGCATTTTTTCACCTTGACAGGCAGAGATTGTACAAACAAAAGTTGGTTAATCTATCACATTTTCTGCTTTGATATTCACTTGACTACATTTTTATAATGTTAATTTTCAAGTGACAGTTTTTCAGCAAACTTTGTTTCCAGTGAATCTGAAACATTGGTCTTTGCTATTCGTTTCTTATATTCAGTACAGTAATTTTTCAAGTCCTTTAAAGCATTACCATAATTATTTTTATTTACAGTTAAGATGTTTTTTCTGATCAGTTCATAAATATTATAATGTTTTTTACTTATAATACGTGTCTGGAAATTCTGAAATAAAAATGTAATTTACAGATGAAAACAATCAAATGTAATCAGAGAGTTGAAGATGCTTTTGACTCATACCTCTAATTGTGGATCACAAGGATTTGTCTTGATAGCCTTTAAAAAATAATCAGCTGCTAGCTTATAATTTTTAGCATCAAATAAATAAATAACAGCTAAATTTAACAATATATGTGTAACAAGATTTTGGTTGTCTTCATATTTATTCAACATACTTTTAAGATGTTTGATAATTTCATAATCAAACTTTGATTGTGAAGTATTTCTAATCAGATTGAGATAATCCATATCAGCAGGGAAATTGCCTGTTCCACCAGTAGCCTTCAAATAGTTTTCTTTGGCTTTCTGAAAAAAAGTGATATAGAAAGCTTTCATTAGTTTAAGAAAAATTTTCAACACTTACAGGGTAATCATTAGTTTCTTCATAATATTTTGCCAGATAATGATAGTAAGTTTTAGGTGTTTTCTCTGGTGACAATAATTTTCCAACATAGTCTAAACAATCTTTAGCTTTAATAAAGTCCTTTTGAGTTATGAAAAACAAGGCAAGAAGTAATCTTACTCTCACATCATTGGGGTTTTTCAGATAGATTTCATTACATATCTCTGAAGATTTTTTCCAATTTTTACTCTCTTTATACATTCTAGCAACACAAATGCCATAGTGATCACTTGGTGATAATTCATAACACTTTAAGAATTCGGTTTCTTCTTCATTAGAAACAATTAAACAAAAATCATGATAACGTCTTTTTTTTCTAAGACACTTAGCAGTTAAATAGTGCCATAATGCACAGTTCGGAACACATGATGAAGCTGATTTTGCTAATTCGAAAGATCTATTAGCACTTTTTTCAAAAAATAGACTTGAAGCTATAGCCTGCGATCCAAATAATGTTCCCTTCTCTATATCAGAAATGAAATTCTTGGCATCTTTCATTTTCATTTCTAATGCTCTTGCTTGTTCTTTTTTTCTAATCATTGAATAAATGCAAAAAGCTGTTGCATCTTTTACATGTGCAAGAACATCAACCGAATAATATCTTTGCTCTGAAACACTGTAACAATAGTATAAAAATAAGTGCTGTATAATAATCTTAAATGTGTAATAATCTTGATATTCAATGGTATCTGATAAATGTTATAAATATGTTTTCCTAATAATTGTTACCTTTTACACATTTTCTTCCAAACATCATCAATTTCTCCTATTAATTCTTCAGCAGCAACAAATTTCATTTGCATACAACGAATGTACGCAAGTGTGTTCATCTCTATTAGCCGTAAGATAGGTGACTCTTCACAATGAGACAGCTCTATTTCTTCTTCATGAAAATTACATACTTGTTCTAGGTCTAAGTCCCAAGTAAATGGACTTTCTATCTTAATCGATTTGGATGTTAACTTTGGGATATCCATTGCGCTTGGTACTGAAAAAAGTTTTGTAAAAATTGTACCTACAATCAATAATCATAGATTTCAAATAAATCTGTTCAAATTCTAACTTATTCTACCAGTATTCACCATTGATGTTACAATTATAGTCGCTTAAAGTTGAGATAGTAAATACAGAGTAAAATGATAATTATGATGAGTTATTTTTGATTGAAAGTAAACTCTTGTTGAATTAAGAATAAGTATTCATTTTATAATTAAGATCGTTGAAAAAACAGTTGCATATATCACACCTGCATTTAGGTAGTTTCAATTTCAATTCTAAAATGTATACATTTTGATTCGACTTAACATACATGTTAGAAAAACATACCCATAGATTTATTCAAACGTCGAAATGAATTAGTCTTTCTTTGATCAAATCTCAATAAAAAGTGATTCACAAAAGTTCGTGATGAAACGCGCAGGATTCCCCTTTAAGAGTTGCCCAATGATTCATACATCCAGTATCACGAATAAGTTTATCGATTACTTTCAGTGGCTTATTACTAATGGTGGTCTTGGATATTGTTTATTATATTGTAATCCAGTGTGAATTTTGTGAATTGTAAATAATTCGTGTTCACACTGTTGATCGGATTAAGCTACCATAAAAGTCGGGTTGATATGGCCGCCAATCAAGATTCAAGAGGACGTTTTCGTGTTTCTCGATTTGTCACGATTGTCGATTTGTCGCGTTTGCCGAATGTCGACTTTTTTAGATGAAACCTTGCAATATGTTATAAAATGTAAAAATTTACCTGACAGTCAAATAACGAAAAAGAAAAGAAAAGTACATAGAGGTTTGAGAAAAATTCGTTCTAATTGTTCTTTGAGGGAATGAAAATTGGAGATTGATTAAATCTCGATTTCTAGCCACACAAATCTTTTTACTTTTCATGATAAAGTATACAAAAACTCCTAAGGCTATTTCTCTCAGACCATGAATTTACCACATATATTACTCAAATTTTTACTTATTATTATATATCTTTTAGTTTCGTGTTTTTTTAATATTTTCAATTGTGCCATATAGGCTGTTTTTTTTTAGAAAATATTCTATTACTATTAAAATGGTTTCCCAATAACTGTAATGAAAACCAATAAAAATACACTTTGATTGCCGTAAACAAAAACAGTAAGACGATTTCAAAGAAACAAATTTGCATTACGAAGCTAAACAAATAAGTATGCAAGCTAAACAAGTCAGTCAGCTTTTCAAACGATTAATGATAATTGAATTTGAAGTAGAACTTTGCTTGAAACTTTTGAAATTTGTTGCTAGAACAAGACTTTATTTGCTGATCGATCAAAATCGAAGAAGATGGAAGCATTTTGAAATTTCAATGAAAATGTTTGTTGGGATGATTTTGTTGCGAAGTGTATATTGTTGTGAGACGAGCGAGTTTGATCTTGTTAATTCGCCGATTTTGCGCTCAGTCGCGGTCTTCGATAATGAATTCGATATTCGGTGTGAGAAGGTGTGTTAAAGGCTAGAGGGAAAGAAATGACGTAGGGTTCAGGAAAGGGAAAAAATAATGATCACTTCAGAATTGGTTAAATTTATAATTTTTTATTGTTAAACAAAATTAATATATACAAGAAAGACGTTCATTGTGTCTTTGGCTGAGAAAATTATTTTTCATCAAAACTCATAGGCTAGTCATTATATTATCAATGTAACATTTGAAGTTTCAACCATACGAAAAAAGCGTACAAAAAATGTTTGTGTTGGAATTACAAAAAAAAAGAAGAAAAAAAAATAAACGGAAAAGAATTATTGTTTTTTCAATCGACGATGAATGCACTTAAAATGGATACGATTTTGAAATAATGCTTTGTGAACGTCATACAAGCAAACACACACACACACACACACACTTATGTATCGACGTTTGTCAGCATTTGAGATATAATTGAGAAGTTTGTCATTTATCAAATTATTGTACGAATGTTGGAGCAAAAAATCGTTTTTAAGCCTCACGCAAAGCTTATTTCTCATTGAGAAGTGACCAAATGTAGCTTGCAAAACTAAAGGACAATTCATTCACGCACACATTTAGAGCCAATGTCCCGTTTATAGGGAATAGCCCGTAAAAGCAAGGCGTCACTCGTTTATAGAGATACAGAGCTCATCATTCGAGGTGAAAATCATTTATAGATTTTACCCTTCATTCATACATGTCTTTTAGTCGTTGCATAGCCACTATCGATAGTACCTCGTAAGCTTGAAAATAAATTTTTCAATACACCAATCGTAAATAATTTGATCAACACACTTCTCAACCGTATCGAATATTCTACAAATTGACGTATGTAAATGTGTAGTATGTTGCTAATTAAACGTTCAGTTTGTGTCGTATCATTAATTTAGCTATTTATATTGGACATTTTTAATTTCAATTTTTGTGCGTTTTCTTCCATTTGTTTTTTTTTCCTTTTTGTTTTAATCGTATGTTTAAAGTACTTTTCTAGTATATTTGTCAACGAAATATCTATAAAATATGTACAACAATTATTAACACCACACGTACATAGAAAAATACTATGATATAATATGCTTAGCTATCACTAAATTTATGGCTACCGATCAACGGCTGTATTGACGCAAATATATTTATCACACTATTAATACCAATAATAAGAATTAAAATATTTCAATTCAAATTGATATAAATGGATTAAAATATGTTTATACGAAAAAAGAGAATAAAAGGCTCATGAAGTATTGTGGTAGTAGTTGGTGCTGTAGGTAGCCGTCGCAGTTTCTTGCATCTGGCACCTTTCATAATCCCCTGGCATTATCATAACACGTGGCATGGCTGTAGCTGTTCCAACCAAACT